ATATTTTAGATATTTTAGATATTTTAATTTTGAAATTTCTCGAGTCTTGTCCCGGGAATTCCCGATTCAGCAACACTATCATCAATGCTGTAACGGAAGATGGATTAATTTTCTGACTTACCCCTGGATAAGTCCAAAGAGGTGACTTTTCCGTTGAGGACGATGTCGTGCGCGCTGGATTCGGTCCTGGTGTCCCAGAATCGGATCCTCTTGTCGAAATGTCCGCTGATGATGATGGATCCGGCTCCATCGACCGTGACCAGATCGTTGCAACTGGACCCAGCGAATTTCGTTTCAATACCTGCACGCACACAAAAAAACAACATATTTATTTAAAGTTTAAAGACGAGATTAGTATGCGCATATCATCGCCGCTTTACGGCTACATCGTAATTAACCCTTTTCGCAGAGATTACGAAGCCTCCGTCGTGGCAGTGGTATTTTCTTAGGATGCATTCGGTGCATGGAACGCCCAACGAACGTAGTCCAACATTTACATATTCCGAGAACGTTCCATATTAATAATAATCTTAATATAAATTGCACATTAAACAACTATTTTCTGGTGAATGCAAACTACAATAATAGTACAAAAAAAACTGAGATGAGAGAATCCTTGGAGATGGGTTTGTTAAACTCTCCTCGTCCTCTTCTCTCCGTTTTCCTCATCTTAATTATTTTAATTCACTTTGTTCGAGTGAGAAAATTAATTTGCAAACCTCCCGCTTTGCCTTGCCTTGCCTTGCGATGTCTGTCAATTATCAAATACCGAACGCCAGGTCGCACCTGACACCTTCGACCTAATTGGACGATGGTCGTAAATCGAGGAATCACATTTCACCTGCACTTTGCTAATAGTAATATGGATTTATATAGTTTCAGCTACAACCAAAAGTTTTCAACTAAACTTTAAAATCAAATATAAATTTTGTAACTTTTTTTATGATTGACTAAAAAATAAATATTAGAATTATGAAGTAATAATACATAAGAAGAGGAAAATGAGTAGAAATGGAAGCAAATAAAAGTTTATAAGTAGTCTAAATATATACTAAATACTAAAAAATGTGAAATCTCCTTAAGAAAAGAACTCACAAGTTGGTGGAGTTATTGTAAAGTCGTAGGTGACTTATAAACTAAGAGCAAAGATGAAACATTGAATAATTAATCCTTACAAATTATAAATACACATTATTACATTACAATTCAATTTGATTTCAAATTTTAATCACTAAAATTTCAAAAGTTAATTACAAAAAAGTATATATGTAAGTTTTTTTATGAATATTTCGAAATCTAACTACAAATCATCAACTATTTCTATTGATGGTATTAGGATTAAAACAAGTGCAAATATCTCTCACAAACTTTGATTTCTAATAGTAATGACTGAAATTTCGAAATGTATGTATATCTCATTTTTATGTATATTTCGAAATCTATCTACAAAATATCAATCTTCAACTATTTCTATCTAATGTAATAATATAAGGATTAAAACAAAAGCAAATAACTTTTACAAAATTTGATTTCAAATAGTAATGATTGAAATTTCGAAATGTAATTAAAAAAAGTGTATATCTTATTTTTATGTATATTAGCTACAAAATCTAGCTACAAAATATCAATTATCAACTATTTCTACCGAAGGTAATAATATAATGATTAGAACAAGAGCAAATAACTTTCACAAAATTTGATTTTAAATTTTAATGACTGAAATTTCGAAATGTAATTTAAAAAAAAAATGTCTCATTTTTATGTATATTTCGAAATCTGGGACAAAATATCAATTATCAACTATTTCTATCGAAGTTAATAATATAAGGATTAAAACAAGAGCAAATAACTTTTACAAAATTTGATTTTAAATTTTAATGACTGAAATTTCGAAATGTAATTTAAAAAATGTATGTCTTATTTTTATGTATATTTTGAAATCTGGCTTCAAAATATCAATCATCAGGTAATTGTATTAAAGGTAATAATATAGGGATTAAAATAAGTGCACAATAACCGTTCAAAGGATTTGCTTTCAAATAAAATATTGATGTTTGAAACGTCGAGCACGTATTTAAAATTTGAACTCTTTTATTTAATTCATAAATTATTTAATTTCGATCTAAATAATGTATAAATCTAAATATAAAAATTATTTATAACCACTTCGGATCAATAAAAATATTGTAGATTCGATATTTACCAAATAATAAAAAAACCTTTATGATTGCAAATAAGTAAGTGAACTGAAGGTAGAGTTATTCTAAAGTCGCAAGAGACTTATGATAAACTAAGAGCAATGTAATGATCCTTACAAATTAAATAAATATTATTAAAATACCTAAATGTTAGTCATCGCAAAATACTGGTGTCTCTTATGTAACTGCAATGCCTGCAATATACCCACATATACGTATTATTTTACGTTTGAAATATGCTAAACTACTAGCAAAATCAAACTACTGAAAAATCTATATACAGTGGAACCTCGCTTAACAAGTAAAATGAATTGTAAGAAAAACGACGTTTCGCATAACGAGTGACGATGAGAAGCCCCAGATTGTACGCCTGCTACATCATTTCTAAAACTTGTGTACACATATGCATTTTTTTTCAATATTTTTCACTATTCGATTAAAATTCGTGTACAAATTTGGAAATTTTGAAACGGATCAAACTCGCTAAGCGAGGTTCCACTTTACATAAATTAATAATAAATGAGAAATCGAAGACTCATGTTAAATAAATAAGAAATAGTTATAGTATGAATACATTTTAAGAAAAAGCAAAGATTTACACATTATAGACAAAACATTTATTTTGGAAAATATTACTGTTTCATAAAATATTTAATATAAACTAGTTTACTTTAGGCTTTCAATAAAAAAATTCTGAACTTATGAATGAATTTTTCAGAATTTAAAAATATATTGTAAAAATATATTCAATAACAATATACAACTTATTTATACAACTAATATAAATTTTGTATTGATTTTAAAAAATTCAATATTCGAATTTTGAAAATAGTCAAACAAATTATGAACTTAATAAGTCATCGACAATGTTCTTTTTAATAAATATTGAGTATTTGTAAAAACTCTTGAAAACATTGTTAAGTAAAAGTATAATTAAAAAAAAATGAAATTAGATCAAGGTCATTTACAAAATGAAACATCTAATATAAATGAATAGAATGAAATAGATAAGTATTAGTTATAGAATGGATAAATTTAAAAAAGAAATCAAAGATTTACATATTATAGACAAAATATTCTAAGAACATTAATTTTGAAAAATTTTACTGTTTCATAATATATTTAATATAAGATCTAGACTATTAATATTATTATATATTAAATTAGTTTTTGAGCTACAATGAAGTTAATTTAATAGCAGATTTGTAAACGAGAAACCCTTAAAAGTCATAATCAGTAATATTAGTTAAGGTGTCAATTTGTTTCATGCTTTGACATTACTTTTTTGAAAAAATATATTTTATTTCAATGATCTATAAGACTAATGTATTTCCATGAATCCATCAAACTGTGAGGATTTGATAACCTATAAACAAGGCTTTGTAATCTTTTGGTTTAAATGAAATGTTGCACGCTGTATCCAATAGGTTGTCAATTTGTTTAACGCACTGATACTTTCGAATGAACATGCAAACGAACTTGTATCGTTGTATTAATGACATTATCTCCAATGACAATGTACAACGTTCGAACACCTATGTTTTTTAATCCGTTTGTTTTCGCGCGTCCCTTCCATTCGTGCTATTCTGATTTGTGACCGAGTTAATGATTGTCGCTGGAGGCGGCAGCGGCGGCAACGTTCGGAGACGGCCGGAATACAGATAAGTGCTGAAAAATGCCGAGGCCATAATTTCATTTGGAATCAATTTGGCGAAGTTTCGGTGACAAGCAAAATTTGCGGGGCGGACACATCGATTTCCAAGTTAAGGGGTGACGGCACGTACAGAGCGAAACCAGAAAACGTGGCTCCAACGTGGAATATACACACAGCAAGGAGCGAGAAAGGTTGAAACAGCTACAGCATTTTCTCCATCCGGCCTTTACGACCGCTTTTAATCTTCGGGCCCCAAACGAAATGAAACTCGCAAACACACACATTGCAAACTCATCCAACCTATACACATCTCGGGCGAGAATAATTTGCTACTTTGTAAATATCACTATTTTCCTTTCTTAAAGTCCACTCTTTCGTTGTGTGTGGATGCATGTGCATCAATTTTCTTTGCGGATTCGGTTTCATGGGAAGAGAGGATCTTATGTACGTACGCTCTCGTGTGTATATGTGAGTGAGTGTGCGCCTATGATCGTGACTGAAATAATATTCCAATGAGATTATCCGACGTGCACTAATAACACATAAATCCTTCAATGTGGGCTCTTCTCCTCTCTCTCGCACATGCATGCATACATACAAACGGAGAGACAGCCAGCAGAAACACGGCCCGGAAGAGAGCAGAAGAGAAGAACTGGATGAGGAATACGACGACGACAAACAACAAAAAAGAATGAAAGAGTATAAAGATGAAGATGAAAAGGAGGAAGACATGGTTTCTTTCTTCTTATTCATCATCAATGTATACTTACATGCTCGACTTCTGAGATCCCAGATTTTCAATGTACGGTCGTGACTACCAGTCACCACTTTGGACGGCTCTCCCAGGAATTTTGCGGCGAGCACCTTGCCGGAATGTCCCGTTAGCGTATGCTGCGAACACACAACAAACAAACCGCAAAACATTAAAATTAATTTAAAGCAAACACACACACAAATATATTAGTTTTGGTACTCCGCAGAAGCCAAAAGCCTCTACTTCTTCCTTCATTACTAACGAGGAAACGAAAGACTTTCACTTTGTACAACTAATCTTCCCGCTTAAATTAACCGCATGCATTAAAGTTAACTTGACAGACCGTCGACGATAATCACGCTGCTGCTATTACCAACACTCCACTCTGCAGACTTTGCACGAAAACTTTAGTTACGTGCAATATTTACTATTAACTCTTACACACTCCTTACTTTATACTTATTTTCATTATTCACCTTAGGTATTACAACTACAAGCATTTTTGTCCATTATTGCTATACCACATATAACAGTTGTCATTTCTAAGGATTCTTGCATAATTCAATACTAAACTAGAACTAAACTAGAAGATTTTTCAATAATTTACATATAAGTCATAAAATATTATTACTTCGTTTCATCAATATATTTTTTAAATCAAAATTCACATGTTTTTAATTATACAAAAACTTGTTACAAAATTGCAAAAGAAAAACTGAATTAATAAAAATTGTATAAGAAAATCAATTAATTAAATTTTCCAGTTTTTTTTTAAACAAAATAAACGTATTCTTGTAATTATTACACAGTTTTATAATTATAATATATTTTTTGAAATATAAATTCACACGTTTTGAAAAGGTAATCACGTAAAGAGAATTACAACAAAAATTAATTAATAATCCACTCTGCAGACTTTGCACGAAAACTTTAGTTACGTGCAATATTTACTATTAACTCTTACACACTCCTTACTTTATACTTATTTTCATTATTCATCTTAGGTATTACAACTACATTATTGCTATACCATAAACCACATATAACACTTGTAATTTCTAAGGATTCTTGCATAATTCGATATAAAATCTTTGAATGTATTTAAGGAATTACTACTTAATTTATACTTGTTTTCATTACAACTAGAAGATTTTTCAATAAATGTTATACCAAAATTTACATATAAGTCATCAAATATAATTACATCGTTTTATAAATATATTTTTTAAATCAAAATTCACATGTTTTTAAATATACAAAAACTTGTTACAAAATTGCAAAAGAAAAACTGAATTAATAAAAATTGTATAAGAAAATCAATTAATTAAATTTTCCTGTTTTTTTAACCAAAATAAACGCATTCTTGTAATTATTGCACAGTTTTATATTTATAATATATTTTTTGAAATATAAATTCACACGTTTTGAAAAGGTAATCACGTTAAGAGAATTACAACAAAAAATAATTAATAATCAATTGTATAAAAAATCAATTAATTCTATCTTCCTGTTTTCCTCTATATGCAGCAAAAGAGAAATTATTAAATGATGAACAAATTATGCGTCAAAAGTGCTCGCATCCAATGCCATTTGAAATGTAGTAATTATGTGATTAAGTTGCAGTACACTAATTAGGATGTGGATAGGCATCGTGTAATTACGGGATAATTAAAAGATAGAACATGTTGGTTTTCAAAATAATTGGACATGGTCGCAAAATCTCCGTTTGCATGAGAGGAGAAGACTAGAGAGGAAGAAGGAGGTAGAACGTGCTTAGAAGACGACGGCGGATCAGGATTTTCCACAAGAAACACGTAAACCCGATTTATTCCTGAGACGACTTGAAGGATTTCGTATATTAATATCAAGAAATTCGGACGGAGCAAAACATCAAATATGCACTTTTACATCAATTGATTTATTTTTATATTAAATTTTATTATAATTTTTTAAGTATTTTTCAATAAAAATTGAAAACATTCATGAAATTATTTATATATTTTATTATACAAATAATTAAAAAAAAAATCTGTGATGCAAATTTTATTCTTAATTAAGGATTTTTCATTCCTTAACTGAAAAGAAGTATTTTTCAAATGTTCTTGTACTTTTTTGTTGGTTTATTTGTTGAAACTTTCCAATTTATTCTCGTACAGCACTGAATAAATAATAATAGCGAGACGAGATTTTTTTTCCATTTAGGATAAAAATCTAATCTCTCGTTGCGTTATTTACATTTTGCTTTTTAAGCGCTTTTGTCCTGAATGTGTCTAAACTCTAGACAGACATGATATGTGCAGAATTATCAGCTGTTTCCATATGGAATTTCATTTCATTTTACAAAGATTCTCGTGTATGCTTTATATTTGAATTATAAACAAAAATATTTAATATCTGTATACGTAAATCAATTTGTGTAAAACAAACAAAGTTTTTCATCAAAACTTAATTCATATTTATGTAAAACTTAAATTTAAAAATACTAGTAAATATAATTAATTTATTAAAGTTAATCAGAATTCAGTAATCATTTTTAAAGTCCTACGATTTTTCAATTATACATAAAATTTCCAACTTTGTTTTGTGCAGATTTTCATTGTATATTTTCAAAACTTATTACGTGTATAAAATAAATTTCTAAATTGAATTGATTCATTCTATATATAGATAATTGAGTCAATCAGGACTGAGTAATCTTCGTGGAAATCCTAAGATGCGCGCATCTAAAGTTATTTGATTAATTAACTTAATGGCCCTGAGGTCAGATCGGCTTTCTGCGATGACGAGTTAACTCGCCCTACGCAAATTACTGATTAATTAATCGCTTGAAGTGCTTATTCAATCCGGAACTTCTCAATCTACTCCACATAAAGAATTTAACTGAATCTATATGTATGTATACTTTACTTTTGTTAAGAGAATTAAAAGATTAATTCAGTCTAATAAGTGATTATAATTATATTTTATATAAGTAAGCTTAATTAGATTTATTTATAAATAATTATATAACCAATATTAATAAAATGTATGTATTTGTAATATATTTTGACAAAATCAAAGTTCTTTCATACATTTATCAGCAAATTTAAGAATTCATACTGATATTAAAAGATTAATTCAATCTTATATTTAAGATGAATAAAATTTACATAAATAAGTGATAAATGTATGTACTTTTGGATATATTTGAAAAGTTTCATTGTTTATTCATAAATCTACAAGTAAATTAAAGGATTCATACTAATTATCTAAAATTAAAAGATTAATTCAATCTTGTATTTAAGCTGAATAAGATTTACGTAGATAAGTGATAAATGTATCTACTTTTGGATAAATTCGAAAAGTTTAATTGTTTATTCACAAATCTACCAGTAAATTTAAGAATTCATACTGATCATCTAAAATTAAAAGATTAACTCAATCTTGTATATAAGATGAATAAGATTTACGTAAATAAGTGATACATGTATCTACTTTTTGATATATTTGAAAAGTTTCTTTGTTTATTCACAAATCTACCAGTAAATTGAAGAATTCATACTGATCATCTAAGATTAAAAGATTAATTCAATCTTATATTTAAGATGAATAAGTTTACATAGATAAGTGATAAATGTTTCTACTTTTGAATATATTTGAAAAGTTTCATTGTTTATTCATAAATCTATCAGTAAATTGAAGAATTCATAGAGATCATCTTAGATTAAAGATTAATATAATATATTAAAAATGAATAAGATTTACATATGTAAGTGATAAATGTGTCTACTTTTGCATACATTTGAAAAGTTTCATTGTTTATTCACAAATCTACCAGTAAATTGAAGAATTTATACTGATCATCTAAAATTAAAAGATTAATTCATTCTAATAAGTGATTATAATTATATAAATAATACTAATAAAATGTTTGTAGTTTTCTATTATATTTTGACAAAATCAAAGTTCATTCATACATTTATCAGTAAATTGAAGAATTGTTACTAATCAACTAAGATTAAAAGAATAATTCAATCTTATATAAAAGTATATAATTTTGGATATATTTGGAAAGATTCATTGTTTATTCATAAATCTACCAGTAAAATGAAGAATTCATACTGATCATGTAAAATTAAAAGATTAGTTCAATTTCATATTTAAGATGAATAAGATTTACGTAGATAAGTGATAAATCTATCTACTTTCAGATAAATTTGAAAACTTTCATTGTTTATACATAAATCTACCAGTAAATTGAAGAATTCTTAATGTTCATCCCAGATTAAAAGATTAATTTAATCTTATATTAAAGATGAATAAGTTTTGCGTAGTTAAGTAATAAATGTATCTACTTTCGTATATATTTGAATACTTTTATTGTTTATTCATAAATCTACCAGTAAATTGAAGAATTCTTACTGTTCATTTAAAATTAAAAGATTAATTCAATCTTATAATTAAGATGAATAGGATACGTCGATAAGTCATAAATGTATCTACTTTTTGATATATTTGAAAAGTTTCTTTGTTTATTCACAAATCTACCAGTAAATTGAAGAATTCTTACGGATCATATAAAATTAAAAGATTAATTCAATCTAATAAGTATTTATAATTATACCTTAGATTTAAGAAGGTCTAATGAAATCCGGACGTTCGAAATCACGAGTGTAACAAAATCCCGATGTTTGAAATCCCGGCTATATTAAAATCCCGACGCTTGAAATTCCTGACTACCATAATCCCGAAAATCAAAATCCCGACTATATCGAAATCCCCACTACCATAAAAATGTAGAAATTTATAATAATAAAAGACACACTCGGAATTTCGATATAGTTGGGATTATGATTGTCGGGATTAAGGTAGTCGGGATTTCGATATAGTCGGTATTTCGATAGACGGCATTTCGATTGTCGGTCTTGCGATTGCCACCTGATTAATGTATGTATTTTTAGATATAGTTAAAAAGATTAATAGTTTGTTCATACCAGTACACTGAAGAATTCATACTAATCATCTAAAATTAAAAAAAGTAATTCAATCTACTAATTTCTTTGTTTTTACTTTATTAGTAAATTGAAGAATTAATAAGAATCCATACTAATCCTCTATAAAATATTAAAAAAAACTCTAAGGATAATATAAATCAAAT